TATGTAGATATGTATATATGTAGGCATGTAGGTATGCATAGATGTATGTATGTACGTGTGTATGTATATACGCATGTGTGTATGTATGTATGTATGTATGCATGCATGTATGTATGTATGTATGTATGTATGTATGTATGTATGAATGAATGAATGTATGTATGTTTGTACGTATGTACGCATGTATGTGTGTAAAAAAGATACATGTGTGACACGTGGTTTCCCAGGCTCATACAGCACACAACTGGGGGCCACCGACGGGGTTGCCACAGCTTGCGATCAGACGGCATGCTGAGACGCACTCCGACCACGTCATGGCGACGTGAAGCTGCAGTGCGTGCTGTCCCCCTCCCTACCCAGACCTCCGACGAGGCGTGCTTCCCAATCCGTGGGCCTCAGAGCTCCCGGCCCTTTTGTCCTTTTCCCTAGGCAAGGGGGGGGTAGCTGCCCAGCCCGGAAGAATTGTTTTCTTGTCCTGGGGCCCAGCCCCTGGAAGCCGGAATCGTGGAACAGCTAGAGGAGGGGGGGGGGAACGGAAACAAATGCTCCACGCGCGCGGCCTTGCCCCCCGCGGGGCGCATGGCGGGGCTCCTCCCCCCCCCGCTGCTGTGGAGAGCAGCGGGGCCGTGCCTGGAGTCGGGGCTCCCCTGCCGCGCGCTGCGGCGAGCGTGCCCCGCCTTGGCCCAACGGGCTCGATGAGACGCGGCGTGGGCTCCGACGCCGCTGGCGCGCTGTCCCGTCCAGGGCCCTGTCGGCGTCGTGAGCTGACGTCTGGACCTCGCGCTCCCCCCCCCCCCAGGTAAGGGGGGAAGTCTGGGACTATGTGGGAGCCATTTGCGTGGTGTATGTTGATCTAGATTCGTTTGGTTGTTCGATGTGTGTTCCTTGTCTCGGTCATGTCTTCTGTTCGCTCTCATCCTCGTCGTTGTCACCTACCCCCCCCCCCCCCGCCAGGACCTGCCATCCGCCGCAGCCGCAGGCCCTGCGCCCCGCCGTGGTGTCCTTCGCCCGCCCGCACGCCGCGCCCACCTCCCGAGACGAGAATGCCGTGCCCAGAGGATCGGGGCCCATTCCGGCTCCTCCGATTCGATCCGGTTCGATTTCGATGGCTGCCGATTCCCATTTGGGAGTCGTTTTTTTTTTATTATTTCTTATTTCTCATGTAAAATCCTCCTGTAGGGGACATGCCCGACCTAACGATAGGGGCGAATAGCCCAAGGGCGAGGATTGCACGTATTCGCCGGGGAGCCTCGCGGAAAACATGAGCCGTCGTCGCCATTGGATGCATGATGTTTTGCTCCCCCCTGGGCTATTCGCCCCCATCGTAGCCCCCGAACCGCTGGGGGTCCTGCTGTGGTGAGGGCTTCCTCCGGCCGAGAGACCTGCGCTCAGAGACATCCTCAAATTCGGGTGTGGTCTGGCCACTTTCGCCCAGGGCATTCTCGCGGCTCCGCGCCAGGAGATACCCTGGCCTGAGGTGGTCTGGCCTCGCTGGCTCAAACCCTGGAGCGGAAGGTGAGTTAAAAGGGTCCTGGGGCTATTTTGGAGCCCTCCAAGAAGGTCGGGGGGGGGGTTGCAGATCATGGGAGGTAATCGATGAGAGCGCCGAGTTAGCGTCGATTTAGCGCCGATTTGGCGTCGGTGTAGCGTCGATTCGTGTCGATGGGCGTCGGCCAGCGTCGATTCGCAAGAGCCAGCAAGATGGCATGGGAGGCTGCCGGGAGTGGCCGGGCAGCAAAATGGCAGCGGCCAGGCGCTCTGGGCAGCGGGGGCGCTGGCACACCCCGCGAGAGCTGCAGCGCCCCCATGGGCGCCTGCGGCTGCCTCGGCGGTCGCGGCTGCCGGGCCCCACGGTTAGGTCGGGCATGTCCTCCTGCAGGCGGATTTTGGACGACAGTTCGATGACTGTCGTAGCATATTCAACAATAGTCAGACATAGTCGAGACATCGTACCCATATGGTTTGTCCACGACTTGTGAATCTTCCTCCCGTAGAGGGACATGCCCGACTTAACCCCACGGGCGCGCTCCCTGCCGGCCGCGCCAGCTCCCACGCCCGAGAGCGGGCCCTGGAAGCGCGCCGCGGCAGGCCCGCCTGGCGGCCGTGCGACACGCGCCGTGCCCCTTGGGCTTAAGTCGGGCCTGTCACCCCACAGGAGGAAGTATTCAAGAATGGTCAAAACAATAGTCTGGGGACGATTTGTCGATTCTGGTTGGACTAGTTTGGGGTTTACAACCTTGCATTTTTCAGCCCCAATCGGCCTGTGGGAGGACGCGCCCGACCTAACCTTGGGCCCCCTGGGCCTCTCGACGGCCTTGGCAGCTCGGCTCCACGGCTGCTCCCCTTGGGTTGGTCCATCGGTGGGCGACGTACAGTCGATGCCCATGCCAAGAAGCACCCTGCGTCTGGGCCTCCTGGGCTTCGATGGTTCTGCGATGGGAAGCGCGGCGTTCCCGTACCAGACATCAGCGGACGTCCTGGGGTCTCGGGGTCGGGTTTCTTGGGGAAGGTTTCTTGTGGTCGGGCCCCCCACTGTTCTCAGATGGGCCTGTTTGCCACCACCACCACCACCATAAGTTGGAGGGGGAGGGGGTCCTCCTCCTCCTCCTCCTCCTCCTCCTCTTCGTCCTCCTCCTCCTCTTCGTCCTCCTCCTCAGCCTCCTTCTTCCCCCCTCCAACTTATGGTGGTGGTGGAAAACAGGCCCATCATACTCTCCTTGGGTCGGTCCATCGGTGGGTGACTTAGCGTGTCGATCCGCCGGGTCTCGCCCTCCACGCTGCGGCGCGAGACGTTGTCAACGGGCCATCGACGAACAGGACGCAGCTGTCCTGGAGGCTCAAAGACTTTGTGCCTAGCCTGCGCACTGGTGCACAGTGAGGCAGGTGGTTGCAGAGGAGGGAAAGCGCTGCTGCAATCCCGCCCATCCCGTATGCGCTAGACTGTGTACGCACATACCTTGCCGGAGACTCGGTTCAGAACAATCTCCACATCATGCCATCGACGACGACGACGGCGACGCAGTTTTTCTGGAGGCTTTCGGATGCGCCCAAAGGTTCTCTCACAGGTATTCCGACGGTATTGGGTGGTTTCCGATTGCATTTGGTGATTTCCGGAGGTGTTCGGTGGTCCTCAGAATCTTGCGGAAGGAGCGTTTGCGTCACGAGTGAACGGGTTGCCGAGCTGACCAGTCTGCCGATCTGGCCCCTCGCGTGGCAGCAGCTAGGGGAGGACGACTGTCGGGGGCGTACGTGTGTGTCTGTGTGTGGATAGCATGGCCGTGGCCCTGAGATTTCCCAGGTCTTGGTGCGCGAGCCCCAAGCTTCTCGGCCCCTCCTCCTCGGCGCACCCGAGAGGGGCGGTGTGGTGGGGGGGAGGGGGGGTCACGCAATATTCTGCCCATCGGCTTCTTCGGTCGGCCCCGGCGTCTCCCTGCGCCTGGAAAGCCAGCTGCGTGCCGCGGATTCGCGGCCCATTCGGAGGTGTCGGTGGGGGCGAATAACCCAGGGGGGAGCAATGCATGGATCCAGGCGCGCCGATGGCCCTTGTCTTCGGCGAGGCTCCTTGGCGGTGCCTTCCCGAGAGCGTCTTCCTATTCGTTCCCCGCGTGCAGCAAGCCTTCTCGCAGCTCCTCCGAAGCTCCTTGGGAGCTCTTGCGAAGTTCCTGGCTCCAGCTTGCCAGCTCCGCAGGTATGCGTTCGAGCGTCCTTGCAAGCGTCTCCTGCCCGCCCCACTCGTCCACCCCGAGGCGGCGCGCCTCACTTGCTCCTCCCGTGCATCCTCGGACCCCATCCCGGCTGCTGCCATGGCGGACGCCCTGGACCCTTCCTCCCCTCCTCCCTGACCTCCCTCCCCGCTTGAGCAGTCGGTGCCGTGCCCCGCTCCTCCTCCTCCCTCCTCCTCCTTCTTCTCCTCCTCCTCCTCCTCTTTCTCCTCCTCCTCTTTCTCCTCCTCCTCCTCCTTCTCCTCCTCCTCTTCCTCCTCCTCCTCCTCCTCCTTCTCCTCCTCCTCCTCCTCCCTCCTCCCCTTCCTCCTCCTCATCCATCCTCCCCTTCCTCCTCCTCGTCCTCCTCCTCCTCCTCCTCCTCCTCCTCCTCTTCCATAATGATAGCATTCGTACCAACGCGAACAGCGATAACCACGACAACAACGATCAATGCTGATTTCTTGCCGTCCTCGGTGGTTGTCGTTGCGATCCTTGCAATCGTTGTTGCCGACGTTAGCTTTGTGTTCGTGGTGATCGTTATGACTATCGGTGTGACCGTTGCCGCTGTCATCGTTCCCCCCCCTCGTCGCGGCCGCTGCTCCGCCCCTCGAGGATTACATCTGCTCCTGGCTGCTGCCGCGGCCGCCCGCCGTCTCTCCCGCGGCCGCCGCTGCTTCCACTTCGCTCTGCGGCCCCGGCCGATGTTATCATTATGAAAGAGGAGGGAGGAGGAGGAGGAGGAGGAGGAGGAGGAGGAGGAGGAGGAGGAGGAGGAGGTGGAGGTGGAGAAGGGTGAGGGGGAGGAGGAGATGGAGGAGGAGGAGGAGGAGGAGGAGGAGGAGGAGGAGGTGGAGAAGGGTGAGGGGGAGGAGGAGGGTGTGAAATAAATAGTGTCAGTGCTGATCTGTAAGCAGTGTAGCATAGCGTGCCAGCAAGCAAGCAGAATGTGCTAACATTCAGACGGAAGGTAACGTGTCCTTTCGTAACTTTTTGGGCTCAATCCTTTAAGGGCCCTTGAGCTTGGGCGTATCGGTAGACACCTCTGCAGGTGCCGCTAAGCAACTTACCATCGCCTATCATTGCTGATATGTTGCTGATATATTTCCGTCATTGCTGACAACGACAACCTCGCGGTTATCATCGCACCCGGACCCCTCATCGCAATATCGGGTCTGCATTGGTAGCGGAGCTAACTCGACCACGGCAGCTACGTGCGCGACTTCGCAGAGTCATTTAGCAAGCACTACAGGCTCGTGATTTGGATTGCGACTGTACCTCTCATTCGAGGTCGCCACCATGGCGACGGCAGGAGGAGCCGCTGCAGCCAGCGGCGAGGACAAGAGCAACGGGGGCAAGATCCCCGTACCCGTCTTCGATGGCACGAGCAAGACCATGAAGAAGCACCGCCGAGAGGTCGCCACCTGGCAGATCGGGGCCGAGGTCAAGCCGCCCAAGCAGGGAGCGACCTTGCTGGCCAGCCTGAAGGGCAAGGCCGAGGAGGCGTGCGAGGAGCTCGACCTGGACGCCATCAAGGGCGACGACTCGGTGGAGGTGTTCCTGGAGTGCCTCGGGAAGCGCTTTCCCGAGATCGAGGTGCTGGAGACCCCAGCGCTGCTGGAGACCTTCGCGCGCCCGGCCTGCGTCCGGCACAAGTACGAGGAGATCCGCGACTACAGCAACCGCTTCAACGGGATCGCCACCAAGCTGAAGGCCAAGGGCATCCAGGTGCCCGACGAGGTCTTGGCGGACCTGTACATCAAGGGGGCCCGCCTGCCCCCGGAGCGCGCGGCGAGTGTGCTCAACGGTGTGGGCAACCAGTTCAACCCCACCAAGATTCAGGAGCAGTTGATGATCAACTTGCCCAAGGTATCGGTCGTGGACGGCAACAAGGACAGCCCGACAAAGGAGGCTACGGAGGTCACAAGAACAAGGACCACAAGCGGGCGTACGCCACGGAGACCTACGAGGAGGATCGTAGGGCCGAGTTCGACGGCGCGTCCTCAGACAGCTCCGACGACTACGAGGACGAGCTGCCCGACGAGCTGCAGGACGCGATCGACGAGGCGGAGGAGCAGGTAGCCTTCTTCACCAAGAAGATGGTGCGCGCCAAGGACAAGCTGAAGGAGGCGAAGCAGGCGCGCGGCTACTTCGCCAAGCGCGACGGCGACAACCCGCCGAAGAGAGACGATCCCAAGATCGCCAAGATGAAGGCAAGGACACACTGCGGCGCATGTGGCCAGAAGGGCCATTGGCGCGGTGACCCGCAGTGCTCGAAGAAGAACGACCCTAACGCCAAGGCCGACATCCCGAAGAAGGGAAGCAACAGGACGAACATCGCCACGCACGAGACCAGTGACGCGCAGGAGCCTCACGTGGCGGAGATGACGGTCGCGGCGGTCTACCAGCAGGACCAGCGGGCCGCAGCTCGCGACAGGAAGTACGGCGCGCTGCACAGCATCGACGGGATGCAGATGCGCCAGGCCGCCGGGCTACCCGAAGAAGTTACGGCAGCGGCGTTCTTCATCAATAAGGACCACCAGTGCCTGATGGCCGCGACGAGCTCGGCGCCTATCTACCTCAGCGTCGAGGACCTGCTGAAGGAGTCGGGGGGCAAGCTGACCTTCGACGCGGCCTGCACGCGGTGCGTCGGCGGCCTCGACTGGTACAACGACATCAAGACGAGGCTGGCCGCCTTCAACATCCAGCCCATCGAGTACCCCGAGAAGGAGCCGTTCCGGTTCGGGGCGTCGAAGGTGGTGCTCAGCCTCAAGGCGGCGCTGATCCCCTGTTCGGTGAACGGCAAGGCCTTCACCGTCCGCATGAGCATCGTGCGCAGCGCCGTGCCAGGACTGTTCAGCCGCAAGGCCCAGAGCGAGCTGGACACAGTCTACCACGCCGGAGACAACAAGCTGGACATCAAGTCGATCGACGAGCACGACATCCAGATGGGCCTGAGCCGCGCCGGACACCCGACGCTGGACATCGCAGGCTTCACGCCGAGCTACAAGCCCGTTTCGGACGTCTCGGATGCCAAGGCCGAGATTCGTCTCCACCCTTGCGCTTCTTACCACGCTGAGACAGCTGTGGCCAGCGCCGCCAAGCCGGCGGTGCCCGAGGCTCGCCACCAAGGGGTCGCCTCGGAGGCCGACGAGTCTCAGTCGGACACTGACTGCGACGCGCTCGATAGCGCCGAACTGTTTGAGCAGCAGGTGCGCCAGGCCATGGGCGCATGCATTCCATCGCGTCAATCGTAGTCGGTATCGGGAGTCGAGGCCTGGGGAGTGCGTACTAGGTCAGTCGATCATGACGAACGAGGAGCTAAACCTCGCAGCGATCCTCCGTCACGGCGTGCTCGATTTCAGCAGCAAGCAAGCCGTTGCGAGCCACGAGATCAGCCATCAGCACGCAGTCATCAAACTACATCATCACCGCAGTCATCCGGCTCGAGTTCAACTGTGGCTCCACCAGCGAGTTACGACTTGGATGTGCGCGACGCCACGCGCGACCAGCCCCGGGTGATCTTGCGTGCGCTGAGGGCCGAGGGCCGCGAGAGCACGCCGCAGGACGACTACATCCCAGGGCTTGGCAAGAAGAACAAGGAAGCTCCAGCAGCTGTGCTGGGACCGCCAGATCGAGTTCGACCAGCGCACGACCGTGCTGGAGCTCAGGCAGCGCCTCAAGGGCTGGAAGGTCAAGGACGCGGCCAGCAGTGCCTCGGCAACGGTGGCTCATCCGAGCTCACAGATCACCGGGGCCGACAAGATGCGCTTCGGCAAGTACCCCACGGCGGACTACCGCTGGGTGCTCAAGAACGACCTGGGTTACGCGCAGTGGGCGGTCCTGGAGCTCAACAGCAACCGGGCAAGCCCGCTCCTGGCGCGGTTTGCCAGGTGGGTCAAGGCGCACGGAGTGCAGCCCCTTCCCCAGGAGAAGGCCAAGACCACCTTGGAGGCAGTGATGGCCGAGGAGGTGGTGCTGGACGACGTGTGGGTGGCGCCGGCGGCGACGACCACGAGGGCCTCAGCAAGCCAGGGGAGCTGGGCCGGGCATCGGCGCCAGCGTCCTCCGGAGCCGCACGAGATGGACACCAGCGACATGGGCTTCGAGAAGGCGGGCGAGACCGACAGGGAGGATCCCCCGAGCGCCTCCAGGGAACCTCAGGAGAGCCGAGACTAGGCGGCGGTGGCCGCCAGGACGGGTCGCCAGCCCCGAGGCGGCGGCCGGGCATCAAGAAGGGCAAGCGCGTCGGCCTCCTCTACCAGGTCACGGGCTTGCTGAGCGCCTTCGCCTTTCAGACGGTGCTCACCGCGGACTGGCTGGCTAGACCTCTCAAGCCAGTGGTGCAGCATGCTAGCTGTGCTGCGCGAGACGTGGTCGACCACGTCCAGAACGTCAAGGAGGCTTACAGCGTTCGCAGCCACCGCGTGGACGTCATGCAGGCGTTCGGAGGCGAAGGCGGCATCACCGAGGCGGCGTGGAAGCGCCAGATGACGGCCACAGAGGTGATCGACCGCAAGTACGGATGGGACTTACGCGAGCAGAAGGACCTCGACGCGACGTACGACCTGTACTACGCCTCGAGGCCGAAGTTCGTGTCAATCGAGTTACCCTGCACCCACTACACGAACATCACGCACCTCAACTTTCGGGCGCCGCAGGCCAAGCAGGCGCTCCGGCGGATCTGGAGGGCGGAGCGGCCGTTCCTTCTATTGGCCCGCGAGCTCTTCAAGTACCAGCTCGACTCTGGCGACATGGCCATGATCGAGAACCCGGCCACCAGCCGGCTATGGACACAGCGCGCGATTTTGGAGCTTTTGGCAGACGAGCGCGTGTACCAGGTGAGGCGCGACATGTGCGAGTACGGAGCTCGACACTACAAGACGGGGGGACTCATCAAGCACCCCACGAAGCTGCTCGTTACCCACAAGGAGTTCGAGCAGCTGAAGCGCACCTGCAGCCGCAAGCACCACGACCATACCTTCGGGGACAACGCGGCGGTGCGCAAGTCTGGCGTTTATCCTGCTAAGTTCTGCCGAGCGGTGGTACGCATCGTGGAGCAAGTTATTCGCCAGCAAGGTGGGCAGCGCGCCTACCAGGTGGACTGCTAGTCGCACTCGTCGCCCTTCATCGTGACAGTGCCCAGGGAGCAGGCCGCCGCCTACGTGAATGACACCGCGCCCCTGGGAGAAACGGGCGAGCCTGATGGGGGCCCAGGCCCCATGGGCGGCGGAGACGACTTCGCCGACACTCACGACGTGCGGGCCGAAGATACTGTGGACGGCAGGATCGGGGTCGGCGCGATTACCTTCACAAAGAAAGCAGCAGCCTGCTGCAAGCCAGCCGAGCTGGCCATGCTCAAGAGACTCCATGTCAACTTGGGCCATCCGTCTAATGAAGATTTGGGACGCAGCTTGCGACTCAAAGGCCCTAAGTCGGCCACCGTCCAGGCCGTCAAGGGGCTGATCTGCGGGGTGTGCCGCTCGCAGCAGCGCCCGAGCGCGAGGAGACCAGCGCGCCCCCACTTCGTGCAAGATTTTGGAGACGACGTCGGCTTCGACTGTTTCGAGCTCAAGGACGTCGACGGCAAGAGCTACTGGTACTTCAGTATCGTCGACCTGGCTACCACCTTCCACGTCGCGACGCAGATCGGTCGCCACACCGGCCAGGAGTTCGCCGCCGCGTTCGAGAGGTGCTGGGCCTCCTGGGCGGGCGTACCGGACCGAGTCCACTTCGACATGGAGAAGGGGTTCGGCGGCGCCCTCAGCGAGCTGTTGCAGTCATTCAACACGGTGCAGCTGCCCATCGCCGGTCAGGCACATTGGCAGCTCGGTCGCGTGGAACGCCAGGGAGCTTGGTGGAAGGAGCTCGCGGCGAGGACGATCGAGCACTCCTCGATCAGGGGCGAGGACGAGATGCGGACGCTGGCCATCATGGTCTCGGGCGCGAAAACTCGCTGAGAAGGCGAGCAGGCTTCAGCCCCGCGCAGTGGGTGCTGGGACGCGACCCCAAGATGCCCGGAGACCTAGTGGACGATACGGCCAACTACAGCGCCCACAACCTCGCGGCCAACGACGAGAAGATTCGCCGACGATGTGCTATTCGGACGGCGGCGCGCGAGTCGTTCATGAGGATGCAGAACGACGACCAGCTCCGGCGAGCTATGTTGGCTCGCGCGCGCACGGTGGCGACGCCCTTGTCAGTGGACGAGATGCGCTACGTCTTCCGCCAGTCAAGAAGAAGGAGCAGCGGGAGCAGCACAACCGCAACGCCAAGAAGGGCATCTGGCGGGGGCCGTGCGTAGTCATCGGCCACCAAGGCGAGAACACCTGGGTCTCGCTAGGAGGGCACACCATGCTGGTGGCCCCGGAGCACATCAAGGCACTCGCTCCGGACGACGTCTGGTTCCCGAACGGCAGGGACGAGATCGGTCAGGCCGTGGCCGAGCTCAACCGGGCTCGCGACTCGCTCGAACAGGAAGAGGCTCCGGTGGAGGACATCCTCCCGGCGCCTGGCGAGCCCGAGGTCAAGCCAGACGAGATGGAGCAGGCGTGGCGGGAATTTATCGACAACCCGGACGACAGCGACCTCAGGCTGAACGTCTCCGAGGATCCGCCCCAGCAGGAGCAGATCCAGGTGCTGCCCGCCGACGTGCCGCAGCAAGCTGAAGAAGAGCGAACCTACGGCCCTGACGAGTTCCGACGACGTCGAGCTACCTTCGACGGAGGGGACAGCGGCGATTTCGGCCCGGCCTTCAAGCGCCTCCAGACCGAGAGGGAGCACACAGGCTCTGGCGCCCTGCCCGCAAGGGCAACTTCGCGCGACCGCGCTGCGGCGCCCGATCAAGAGGCAGCATCCGGACCCGAAGCAGAAGGAGCCCGCCAACGTTCGAGGTCGGCCCCAAGACAAGTACTGCAAACCTCCATCGTGACCGAGAGGATCAAGCGCAAGCAGGCCGACAAGGAGACCCACTGGAGGGCCATCAAGGACTCCGATCGGGAGCTCTTCAGGGAGGCGGCCGCCAAGCAGTGGAGCGAGTGGCAGAAGTATGGCTCTTGTCAGGTACTCTCCATCGAGGAGTCCGAGGCGATCAGGGGCATGATCAAGCCCAGCCTCATCCTGCCCAGCCGGTTCGTGTACCGGGACAAGAACGCCCCGCTGCGGACCGACAAGCATCCGCTGCCGGTCAAGGCGAAGGCCCGACTCTGCGTCGGGGGTCACATGGACCCGCGCCTCGCTCAGGGCGACCTGCGGACGGACGCGCCCACGGTCACCCGCAACTCGACCATGCTGTTCTTCACCATCTGCCAGAGGTTCGACCTGGAGATCTACGCGGCGGACGTGGAGGCGGCTTTCATGCAAGGCGACGAGCAGCCCGACCAGCAGCTGTACATGGCCCAGCCTCGCGAAGGTCTGCCTGGGCTCAACCCGAAGCAGCTGATCAAAATCCTCAGGGGAGTTTTCGGGCTGGCGACGGCACCGAGACAGTGGTCGGCGAAGCTCAAGAGGACCTTGCTCGCGGTGGAGGAGAAGCTGAGCGACAAATACTTGTTTCGCCTACACCAGCACTCGCTGGACCCAGCGCTGTACTACGGCTACGACCAGCACGGGGAGCTCTGTGCGGTGGTGGTCGCCCACGTGGACGACTTGCTGCTGGGGATCTCGCACAAGTGCCCGGGCCTCTACGACAGGCTTCACAAGCTGTTGCCCTGGGGCGACTGGCGAGGCTTGCCATTTACCTTTTGCGGCAAGCAGGCCTGGCGAGATCAAGAAGGAGTGCTACATCTACGGCAGACCGAGTACGCGAACACCATCGAGGAGATTCCGCTCAGCAAGGAGCGCAAGACGGAACTGTCGTCAGATGCTACGCCAGCTAAGTTCTCGGATAACCGCTCCGCACTCGGAGCGCTCGGGCGGCTTTCATCGCAGACTCGTCCCGACCTGGCAGCTGGAGTGGCCATGGGGCAGCGAACCCAGAACAAGCCCACCATCCAGGGCTTGCTCGAGACGAACAGGCTCATCAAGCTGGCGCGGAAGCACGCGGACGTGGGTTTGGAGTTCCCTAAGCTACGTGGACCTCTGTGCCTGGTGACGTTCCACGACGCCAGTTGGGCCAACGCTGATGAGCCAGCTGAAGGCGCCATCTCAAGTTGCTCGCGAAGACCGTGGGAGCAACCAGTAAGGACAAGAAGATCAAGATTCGCTCGCAGGCCGGCTACGTGACTTTTCTCGCAGAAGCCAAGCTACTACGCGGAGATCGAGCTCGAGCAGGGATCGTTGATAGGAGATCGGGCACCATCAAGAGAGTTTGCAGATCTACGTTGGCAGCCGAGACGATGTCGGCAGTAGACGCTCTAGGCTGTGCTCAGATTGCACGCTGTGTTTTCGCTTCGCTAGAGATTCCGGATGCCCATCCAGAGGACATCCCGCCGAGTCTGTTGCCGCTCGCTCAGGTCACAAATTGCGCCAGCTTGTACGATACGATGCACAAAGACGGTTATTCCAAGCTCCCGTCAGAGCGGCGCCTTTTGCTCGACCTAGTGGGCCTCAAGGAGTCACTGGAAGAGGAAGTTCGCAACGAGTTCGTCGCTGACGATCAGCGCAGCCAGCTACCTCTCTTTTGGGTTCCGACTGATCAACAGCTAGGTGATCAGTTCACCAAGCGATCGGACGGCAGTGCCATCAGGGCAGTGCTGCGAGACACACGCCTCGCTTTGCAGCATCAAGAGCCGACTGACCAGGCCAGAGAGCATGAGGCACACCTGACCAGTGCCGGCTCACTTTTCGAGCGCGCGGTGCGCCTGGTCTCATTTTAGCTCGTTGACGTGCCATTACCACGTCTAAATGCGTGATATCGGTAGATGCACAGATCAGAAGAATTTTGCACGAGTGTGAAATAAATAGTGTCAGTGCTGATCTGTAAGCAGTGTAGCATAGCGTGCCAGCCAGCAAGCAGAATGTGCTAATATTCAGACGGAAGGTAACGTGTCCTTTCGTAACCTTTCGGGCTCAATCCTTTAAGGGCCCTTGAGCTTGGGCGTATCGGTAGATACCTCTGCAGGTGCCGCTAAGCAGCTTACCATCGCCTATCATTGCTGATATATTGCTGATATATTTCCGTCATTGCTGACAACGACAACCTCGCGGTTATCATCGCACCCAGACCCCTCATCGCAATATCGGGTCTGCAGAGGGGAGGAGGCGGAGGAGGAGGAGGAGGAGGAGGAGGAGGAGGAGGAGGAGGATAAGGAGGAGGCCGAGGATGGGGCGGGCCCGCCGCAGGCGCCCAGGCAGGCGGCGCGCCCCCGCGGACCGTCGGCGGAGCGGGCACGGCCCGCGCAGCCGTGCGCCCCGCAGGCCTGCACGGGCCTGGCGCTGCGCCTGCAGGCGAGGCCCTGCAGCTTCAGACGACGGCGACGGCTGGCCAAGAATTACCAGCGTGGAACATATCCCTATCCCTATGCTGGGCACTTCCTCATCACGATGCCAATCTCAGGGATTCCCTTTTTTGTTGAGGGCGGATCCCTAAGATTGTCATCCCCTTTTGGCGTGCCAATTTTAGGGATAGGGATACGTTCGAGGCTGGTAGAAGAAGCAAGCGGGCCCCTGCGGACGAAGCGCGGCGCAGAGTGGTCTGATCAATCGTCGGGGGCGCTTGCCCCGTGTGTTGCTCGCGTTCCACCGACCCGACGAGGTCCCACGCCCGGCTACTCGCGGCAGAGCGAGCCGGCAGGGGAGAGGAGGAGGAGGAGGAGGAGGAGGAGGAGAAGGAGGAGGAGGAGAAGGAGCAGGAGGAGGAGGAGGAAAAGGAGAAGGAGGAGGAGGAGGAGGAGGAGGAGGAGGAGGAGGGGGAGGGGAACGAACGACACGGGTCACGTAGCCGCCAGCCCCTTTGGGCGAGCAGGCCACGTTGCGTCTCACTCACCGTCCTCCTGCGCCGGCTTGCGCACGGGCCTTTGTGTACCCCGCCGTTTTTGGCTTCGCTGGGCTCTCCACGGGCCCCAGGATTGCATCAAAAAACGATTCAGGGTAAACAACATGGTCCTGGGGAAAAGCCTCGGGGCCCTGGACCCGTTTCCCTCAGGACCCGCTTCGTCATGCCAAGCGACGACGACGGCCAAGACGATGACGACGGTGTCGGCGGCATCGGCGGCGACTGCAAGCGGCAGCGGCGACGGCCTTCGGCGCTCATCGATAGCCTTTGGCATGGCGGATCCTCGACGGCCGCCGGTGGTCTTCGGTTCGGCGGCGTGTGACAGCAACGTCATGGATGCGATCTTCTGCGTTGAGAGAGCGGGCCGGCAAGGGGTGACGACGGCGTCGCGCTCGAGGTCCGCGACCGTCCCCGGCATCATCGGCTTGGGGGACGGGCCCGAAAATGTGACAAATTCTAGACGCTTCGCGTATCCCCACCAGCCCGTCCAGAAACGACGCCCAGGCGAGTAGAGGGTCGTCCTGAGGGGCTTTTCGGCGTCTTGGGTGCCTCGGGGGGGCCTCTGTGGGCCGTTCGGGATCCTCTTTGGGGCCTCCTGGGGGCCTCTTGGGGCCTCTTGGGGCCATCTTGGGGCCTTTGGGGGCCTCCTGGGTGCTTCTTGGGGCCTCCTGGGCGCTTCTTGGGTGCCTCTGGGGGGTCTCTTGGGGCCTCTTGGGGGTCTCTTGGGGGCCTCCTGGGGGCCTCTTGGGGGGCCTCGGAGCCATCTTGGAGGAGATCGATCAACGAAGGGGGGGTCCCTAATTACACCCCCCCCTCAGGAGCCACGATCCTCGTGAGGGGTGTCGAATTTTAGCCCTCCCAGGGGTCGATCTTGGGCGCTCCAACGCGCCGCGGAACCCCCTGTCCAGGTCAGTGGGGAGGGGGTAGGGGGAGGGGTAAACCCCTCCCCGAAGGGGGAAGAGGGAGGGGTGGAAGAGGAAACTTGTAAACCACCGACGCCCAGAGGGCTGGTGGGATTACGACGTACGACCAAGTGGGACGGATTCCAACAATGTCGGTCCCAATCCCAACCGACCAGGGCCAATTACACTATTTTTGTCAAGCTTTGAAGGGGCTTTTGGAAGGTTTCTTCGATGCTGCTTATGGAGGCTCTTTAGAGGCTGCTCGGAGCCTCCCTAGAGGCTCCTTGGAGGCTTCTTAGACGCTTCTGGGAGGTTTCTTGAGAGGCTCCTTAGAGGTTTCCCTGGAGGCTCCTTAGAGGCTCCTTTGAGGTTTCCTTCAAGGCTCCACAGAGGCTCCACTGAGTTTTCCTTAGAGGTTCCTTGCAGACTCCTTTGAGGTTTCCTTGGGGGCTCCTTTTTGAGGTTTCCTTAGAGGTTTCCTGAGAGGCTCCTTAGACGTTTCCTCAGAGGCTCCTTTGAGGTTTCCTCAGAGGCTCTTTAGAGGTGTCCTCAGAGGCTTCCTGCGTGTTTCTTGAAGAATTCCTGCGGGTTTCTTTGGATTCCGACGGATTCTGGATGATTTCTTCGGTGTCTTTGGGTTCCCGAGAAACCCGAGGGCTCCTCAGAAGAACTTGGGGATCCTTGAAGAGGCTACTTAGAGGCTCCTTAGAGGCTCCTCAGGATGTCTGGACGATAGCTGGAGGATTCCTGCCGGATGTCCGACGGATTTCTGACAACATTTGGGGAGTCTGGAAGCATTCATGAAGGATTCTTCAAAGATTCTTCAAGGTTCTCTGGGTTCCCCAATGGCTCTTGGAGGGTTCATTGAGATTTCCAGAAGGATTCCTGAAGGATGATTGTCGGATTCTGCGTGAGTCCTGAAGGATTCCTGCGGGGTTCTTTGGACTCCGAAGAACTCCTTCGGACTCTTTCGGTGTCCTTTGGGTTCCTGAGGATTCCAGGGGATTCCTCAGAAAAACTCGGGGATCCCTGAAGAACTCATGAAGGATTCCTCAAGGATTCCTGAGGGTTCCTGTGGCTCCCTTTGGATTCCGTTGGATTACAATGGGATCCTGCGGATTCCTAAGGTGTTTTGCGGATTCCTAAGGTGTCCCGTGGTTTCCTGAGGATTCCTGTGGATTCCTGGAGGATTCTTGCGGGATGGGATGCCTGTAGGATTCCTGGGGACGCCTGAGGATTATGCAGACTTCCTGGGTATTCCTGAAGGATTATGGACAATCCTTGAGGGATCTTTTTAAGACTCCGATGCATTCTAGGCAATTCTTTGGGGAAGCCTGATGGGTTCCTCATGAGTGCCGACGATTCCTGTGGATTCCCATCCGTGAACGGGGCCTCGGTGACCCCCTAACCGATGGGGGTGGGAGAGGAGGGGATTGGCCCAGCACCGCCGCCGCTGAATCGTTCGGTCACCGCCTTCTTTTGTTGTGGGCGCGGGATCTCCCAAACTCCTGAGGGCGACCCTTCCGATGGGAACGTTTCGTGCCTTCGGGGGTTCGGGGGGACTGAACCCATGGGGAGGGAGAGGGTGGCCGACCGAGTCGCCCTGCCCCGCGCCGCTGACGCCGAATCGTTCGGCCCCCGCCGCCTTTCCCGCGGGCGCGAGATCCCCCAGGCCCCCGAGGGCGACCCTTCCAATGGAAGCGTTTCGTGCCCTCGAGGGCTCTGGGAGCCCTCGAACCCTTCTGCTGGGGGGAGTAGTGCGGCCGAACAGTCCGCCTTGCCCTCCGCCGCCGCCGCCGAGTCGTTCGGCCCCCGCCTCTGTTCTGGCAGGCGCGGGCCTTCCCCCATGGCTCCGAGGGCGAAGCTTCCGATAGGAGCGCCCCGTGCCCTCGGGGGTCCGGGAGACACCCGAACCCACGGCGGGGGGGAGAGCGTGGCCGAGCGAGCGGCGATGCCCCCCCCGCCGCCGCCGAGCCGTTTTTCGGCCCTGCTCGGCCCTGCTCGGCTCGAGGCCGTCTGGAGGCACCCTCGGCCACGCGCAGCCATCCCGATCGATGTCCAAGCTGTTCTGAGCCACGCTGGACCTCCTGGGGCCAGCTTGGGGAAAAGGAGGAGGAGGAACAGGAGGAGGAGGAGGAGGAGGAGGAGGAACAGGAGGAGGAGGGAGGAGGAGGAGGAGGAGGAGGAGGAGGGGGAGGAGGGGGAGGAGGAGGAGGGGGAGGGGGAGGAGGAGGAGGGGGAGGAGGGGGAGGAGGAGGAGGAGGAGGAGGGGGGGGGAGGGGGAGGAGGAGGGGGAGGAGGAGGAGGAGGAGAATGAGGAGGAGGAGGAGGAAGAGGAGGATGAGGGGAAGGAGGGAGAGGAAAATGAGGAGGAGGCGGACAAAGTGGAAAAGGAAGA